TTTAGTAGAATGAATCTGGCCTTAAGCAAGGGTAAATCAGATCACAATCTGTCCTGGTTTCAATAGATTAGATTTTATCAAATAAATATGTCATTTTTGTAAGCAGAAAGGGCTTTTTCAAATTCATAGACTTTGTCTATTATTTTGAAATATAAGTGGTTTGGAAGCCAGAATGATCCCAGATGCAAAAATCTCCAAATCTATAGTGAAAAAAATTAATTTTTACTTTGAAGAATTATTAAACTTGAAGTTATAAAAAGAATTTTAAAGAGTATTTTTCCTCTCACCTTCACATGTAATTCCATCACCTCTGTATCCAGTGGGACAAGGGCCACATTTAAATCCTCCATCTTCGACCACCTCGCACTGCACACCAGTAAAACATGGCATATTAGCACACTCAGCTTTGTGATGTGTCCCACCACTGCTTTTTGGAAGTTCCACATGATCCATTGCTCTGTTGAACAACTTTCTGGCTGCTGTGCTCTGTGCTGGAAGCCTTGCTTTGGGAGCAGACCCTGCTGGGATGCCAGCACTCCAGGAAGCTGTTTCAAGGGAAGAAGCTAATAAATGGAAATTGGAGGGGAGGAATGCTGCTCTTGGCTGGTCTGTTGGGAAATCTTGGGATGGTTTAGTCCTCAAGACTGTGACTTGACCAGGCTGTTTCCTGGGAGAATAGCCATAGTTGGAGCGAGTCTGCTGAACAACACGTGACCTTGCAAAGAATGAACTTACATTTGTGTTGTGATGAGAAGGAACAGTCTCTGTCACACCTGGTTTGTGCTGTTTAAAATGGAAAGGGGTATGGGATGTCACACTGACAGCTGGGGCTCTGGAGTCTGGCTCCTCTTGCAGAAGGGAGGTGTGTGTATCACTTCTTTTTTCAAGAAAAGATTGTTTCTCAGGTGCTGTAAACTTCATATCAGATTTTTTTGCTGCCAATATCTGAGCTTGGGAAGTCTTCCTTTTCATTGCAAGGAATGGAGTGTGAATGACTGTGGGGTTTCTTTCTAAAGAGTATGTAATATCTTGCCTTGGAATTTCAGTTTGGGACAGAAGGGAAAATACATTTCTTGATGCCTTTGATACATCTTCCTGGTGAGAGCCTCTAGCATCTTCAATATTTCTTCCAGGAAAATCCATATGGCTTTGGGAAGATCTTGAAACTAGGGAAGAAGGAAGATATTTATTAGTCAAACTTGCTGGTCTAGAGTTTAAAAGAACCACAGTGAATATTTAGGCTAGGAACAAATAACAGAACATCAATTCTAGAAGTAAAAGGGTTAATTATCATATATGCTAAGGGCATTTTTATGCTGACTGGCATAGAAATGACATGGGGTTATCTGGTATGAATAACACCAGTGCTGATGCACAAAACTGAAACTTACAGGGTGGCAGTTCATGAACGAGATGGAATATATTTATGGTGGTTAACACTGAGCCTGAGGCAGCAAGTTTCAGGGAAGGTCAAGCATTATTCTTTGAGGTGCAGCACTGGGCTTACATACAAGGGTTAAATTGCAGCCAAGCAAAAACAGTTGCCATGCTGGTTTATTAATTTTGGTTTACACTAGTCCATAAGGTTTTGGCACTGTGCACCTTTTTATGGTGCATCCTACAGTTCTTGACCTCCTGAGCCAATATTTGCTTCTTATTAACTGTCTATATCATAATAGTGTGCTGGAAAGTGCTCTTCTAGACAGCTCATAACTCAGAGACTTTGCACTCAAGCTCCTTAAGTCAAGGAGACAAGACATTGCAGTTTGGGACAAACAAATATTGGACATGGAGAAACACAATGTTAAGATGGTCCTTGGCAAGATCGTGTCCTTGAGAGACTCTAGCGCCATCACGCCAGTGTATGACTATGCATTCTGTAGTCCTTATGGCAAAGGAAAGTTTTAGGAAAGCATCTAAAGGAGACAAATGGCAAAGCTTTGTTGATGCTGTGTACAGCTCCCTCCAGACGTGAGGGGCAGCGTGTAAGGGAGACTGCTGGTTTGTAACTGTCACCCACTTGTTACGAAGCCAACCACCTTCTCAGCTGTGTAAGGAGGGATGATAGATGGGCAGAGGGGAGTCTGTGAAGGGCCTTGAAAGTGGAGACGAGTAGTTTGAATCAATACTTTCAGGAAGATTAATGGCCATCTGCTGACGCTAATGAATGGAAGAAGCTATTTTTAACCAGTTCTGGCATACTCACTCCATAGGAAATAGAATATGTTGGATCCTGAACAAAAACCTTCACTTGGTTCTAGGGTTAACACCATGCATGATGTACCTCTGTCTTTTTAATATAAATATTAATCACTGCCTTAAAACTCCTATTGATGAAGAAATTAGCCATAGTTAGCAAGGAGATTGAGATGCTTGGCAAGGGTCAAATAAAAGTTAGAGCATTGACTAGGCCAAAGCAAATCCTGGCAGCCAAAGCTGTGTTTATTTGGCTGATAAACAGTGTCATTCTGCTGGCAACTGATGAGTTTCTATACCCTGGAGCATAATGTTTTGGAGTTTTACAATGACCATGAGTAGGTAAATACATAGTATTTAAAAGAGCAATGGGCAATACATGGATTTCACTGTCCAAAGTAATGCTGATGAATGACGAGGTACACAGAATGGCTGGAAAGAGATGATGAGGCAGAGAGGACACCAGCAAATGGAGCATGTGAGGATAGGAGAAGTCACAGGATTTTTAAAAATGAATGAGAGAAAGATGAAAGAAATACCTCCATAGAAAATTATCAGTAATAGATGATCATTACTGCCCTTAGAAAATTTGATTCAGGGACCAGAAATCAACAGGAATGACAGTGAAGGGCTGAATGACCTCTGTGACAAATTTCCAAAATGAGCCCTGATTATAGCTTTGAGCTCCATCCACTGTGTCATAATTAAATGGGTTTTCCTTCTAATTAAATTCAAGTAACTAGTAAGAGGATCAGCCTGACTACCTATCTTTAACAGATCATATAGGAGAGATACCCATCCTGCAAATAAGCTTCATATTTTCCCATAAGGAGGAGCACACTGTTGGAGTGTTTCTGTGATAATGTGATTTTAACATCTCAAATAATACTACCAGTAAAGCGTAGTGATACATTTTGATTGCCCATTATGATATACACTGATCAAGGTCCCTCATCCAATCTGTAGAGGCCACTAAACTTCGTAAGATGTTGGTGTCATTCTCAGTGTCCTCTCAGCTTCACTATTTCAGGTTTTTAACTTATATTGATACTGTGCAATTTAGTTTGGATTAGAACACGATAGATTTTTTCTGGAATGCCTGAAAATTTCTTTCTGCAGTCTTCCAGATATCTAAATAAGCTAAAACAAAGAAAGTAAACCAAAAGATTGCAGACTCAGTTGTCTGTAGTCAGCAGCTTTCTCAAATCCTGTATTACTTCAATTTATTTTCCTTGCTGTTGATCAATATCTTCAAATGTATAACCCATTATCAATGCAGAACTGTGGTATGTGAATCTCTTCTTCCCTGTGATGCCAGTGCATGATTACATATTGAACTGGATGAAAATAACAAACAAAAAGACAAGGCAAAGCGCTCAAGGTTATATGACAAAACAAAAATACATTTTCACTACCTGTCAGTATTTCTGCCTGTACTAACAGGGAAATGTGCAACTGTGGAATAATTGGTGGATAGAGGTAGATAAGAGATCGAGGACCTGCTGCTTTGCTCCAGCTGTGCATGGCAGGACCTCTATCTGTATTGATGGAGCTACACCACTGTAAACACAGCATAATGCCAGGATGGATCAGGCCCCAAGACAATAGATTCCTCGGTTGTCCCCCTGTCTTGGGAAGCTTAGAACAAGGGTGGCAAAGGGCAAATTTCTGAGACACAAGTTTAACATCCTTCCTCCAACTCCACACCAGGACACTTTCCATCTGTGTGGTGCAGAAGTCCCCCAACAAGTGACCCTCCAGCCTTTGGTTTGCCCAGTGTTTCAGAGGTTTTGTGCCACTCACACTAAGGTCACAAATCAGAATTATCACAACCAGTCTCTGTTTGATGCTTGCCAGTGCCATCATGGTGTTGCTAAGGCACAGCAAATTCTGATTTCTTCTCTCACCTGAACTGTGTTTTATAGTGAACTGCTAGATATTTGTAGCTGAAAAGGATCATGCTCATTCTGAAGCAAATAAAATTACTACATAAGCTGGTGAAAACTGTCATTGGTGGTGAAAACAGACACTCAATATCTCAAATTCAGGGTGAGATATCAACACTGAAACACAGAAAAGATATCCAGTGTATTTTTTCTCTTCTGAGTTTCTGGTTGTTTTTCTTTTTTTTCCATTTGCAACCTTTCAGGAAAAAAACCCCCACAACTCAGATAAAGGTTTCAATGAAGAGAAAGCACATCCCCATCTGACCCTCACTATTTCTGTTTGCAGTGAAAGGGCACACATTTCACGCTGTGTCTAGGACAGGGTGCACCAGACTGGTTACCATAGTCCTTGCCACTGTTTACTCAAGTTTTTGCTGGTCTTAGATTTAGGTACCTTCACATCATTCTCCCCAAGCCACATGCCTTGGAGACAGCCCCATCCTGACCCAAACTAGCAGCTGACACCTCAAACATGAGCTTAAGCTTCCTGCAGACATGAGTACTTACTGTCTTTTCATTGCTTTGCTTCTCTTCACAGATATTAGTGCTAGAATCTTACCTTATGGGTTTTAAATGTAACTAGTTTTATGTAATGGCATGAGGGAGACACTATAAGCAACACCATTTAATCTCAAGTGCTTCTCACTCTTTTAATCTCATAAAATGCCCCGAACCAGGCTACTTTTTGGGTGAAGATTGGCTCTTTCTCCTTAGCAAGCTCTTCTGGCTGTGGCCACTGCTTCTGCCTGTCACTGCAGAGGATTATAGGCACCTTTAAATCTGCACAATTTACAACTGACTCAGAATTCTGTGAATAGTTTAAGAATTCATCATTAACATAATTCAATAAATTTACAATTTGTGTAGTTTTAGAACTATTAACATTTAGTAGTACCTGCTGTCCAGCACATTTCTCATTCAGAAGAATGTCGACAGAGAAATGCTCTTTTGACATATTATACTATGTGGGTCATCATTTAAAATTTGAAACATCTACCAGCACATAAATCTTATTTAAAATGTCAGAGAGAATAGAAAAGTTACACTGGTCTAAGAAGTCTTGTTACTAGAGTGTTAAGGATCTTCTCATTTCTCTCTGTATGATTCCACATTATTTTTGTCTGTATTTGCTTGGTGAGAAAGGGGAAACAGAGCAGCTGTCACTGGGAAGCTCCAGGAAAATTCTGCTTTTTCATCAGTTCTTAATCTGATCTTTAATATTACTAAATTCTGGAATTACTTTCTTCTCTAGTCAGAGTGTAATTTCCTAAATTTTCTGTTTAGCCATCCAAGCACACTGTAATCTCTTCCCTCTTTCAAATATTCAGTAATATTACTTTGATTCTCCATTCCTTCCTCTTAAGCACTCAGAAGTTCCCCAAATTCTGGTTGGACTTCCCAGTCACCATATCCCTTCTCTTATAATCACAAGAGTAACTCCCAGAATAACTTCCTCAGCTCCTTTAAGTGAGGTACAGCTTTAACTTCCCAAGTTTTACAAAGGATGTACTTCCAGGATTATTTTTGCAGAAACAAATGCTCATTGGGATTGGGACATTAGTATAAATTTAGATAGGATCTTAAGTTTAGACTTAATGATCCTTTACCTATTTTTTTTTTAATGTAAAAGATTTACAAAGTGAAATGTGCTGCTTCAGGAATACAAAACACACTGGGAGTAGGCACAGGAAAAAGTTAATCCTTGCTTTGAAAGATGTGGAAATAGAATCATAGAATCAACCCGGTTGGAAGAGACCTCAAAAATCATCGAGTCCAACCCTACCATGGTTACTAGACCATGGCACTAAGTGCCACATCCAGTCTCATCTTAAAAACCTCCAGGGATGGTGAATCCACCACCTCCCTGGGCAGCACATTCCCATGCCTGATCACTCTATCTGTAAAAAATCTCTTCCTAATATCCAACCTAACCCTCCCCTGGCAGAGCTTGAGTCTGTGCCCTCTTGTCCTGCTGCTGGTTGCCTGGGAGAAGAGACCAACCCCCACCTGACTCCAACCTCCTG